CAGAGAGATGCTAAATGTTTAACTTGAGATGAGGCTTACTTTTGGATTTTTGTATTATCTAAAACATTCGTTAATGTAGATACTATATTATGTTACAAGTTAGTTTTTCCTAAGCTCATGCTGCTCATCCCACTTCTCTCGAACACTCCTATTAGCAAATCCCTTTTTTACTCGGCTCATTTATTATGCAAGAGTTTACCAAGCTCGGGTAGAAGAAGCAACCGCGGATTGATGAATGAGCGTGAAATGAGCCTCTCGCTCTGTGTTTACCAGAGAGAAACTCGACAAGTCTGTATTTAACTATGGGGTTCAAACCGTATATGCGGCATCGCTCTTACTCGATCTCCGGGACAAGACGCATTTCGCACGCCTACAATTTTGTGCGGAGATTGGATGGTAGAAGTCGGGAGATTGATACAGAATGCGGTCACGTTAGCGGTACCTTCGTGCGATGGCTGAGCGAGAGGTTGATGAGGCGAACTACTGTTTGTCTTCGGAAAGGAGTATCGAGTGGTCGCACACAACAAAATTCTATATTATTATCAGTAAGAGATCTTTCAATGGATGAATGTGCTTTTCAATAAATTGAGAATTGTGGTTCCCTCCAAGTAACTTGAATATCTTCACAATAGAGTAACTCAACATGGATGATTAATAATATATAAAGATAAAAATTCGATCAAGGATCCAATTCAGCAACATAAACTAGCAAATTGTGATAGAGTTTGAGTCTAGCTCAACATGAAAGAATATCATTGTTGATTGAGCGTAAGGACATGGGCGGGTTCTTATGGGAGTCTATCAGGCTCATAATTAGAGTATTCTTGGACGAGAAAAATCGGTTACGGCAAGAGAATCGGTCGACTGCTCATTAAAATAGAAGTATCTTGTAATATATAGCTATCTTTTCTTCTCTCGCAAAAAATATTATAGATAACTAAGCTGACATAACAAATATTTAATTATGAACGTATTTGATGAGTATTTATGATTTTGTTGTACTTTTATAAATTTTACTAAATAATTACTGCAGACTTCTTATTTGGTACATATTTGGCAAAGCGATATGAGGAAGATCCTCTAAATAAACGACATTCGAATATTGAATATTATCCTGTCTTTATCTGTAAGATACAACTATGCTTCATGAAAAAGAAGCACATCGCACAATACTCAGTAAAAATGCGATCAGAATCAAAAATTTATCATATCAAGTAACTAAATATTTTATGAAGAGACACATCGCATCTCGTATTGATTATCATCGGATTCAACAAGTCTCATATCTTTGATTAACTCAGGTACGTTGCCTTCGCGAGCGACACTTCTCTCTTAGAGCTGTGAGAACTTGTTTGTACTTTTTACCGCTTAAGTCACCTCTGTGTGTGTTTAGTTGAATACCACAGTATTACATGACATAAGGATATAGGGGAAATCAAGAATTTTAAGGTTAATCAAAAAGAGAGGATGCTAGGAGTCATGAATTCTTACAAGAGATCGAAGCTTCGAAGATCCTCACGAACATTTTAATACTTAAGATATAGAAGGTCTGTATAAAAAAAAAAGATTAATCATGAATCAGCTGTACAAATCGATTCAAAGTTTCTTTCTCAATAGTGATAAGATATTGAAGAGGAACAGAATCCATCACTTAAAGCTTCTCATGACACAAAAATCCAAGGAATCAAGCATTTTGAATAGAAGGAAGGAAAAAACGCAGTCTTCACGAAACTTGGTATTTGAAGACGTAAAAGTAGATAAACGTTTTGGAACGAGAGTGTCAAATAGATATGAATTACGAATGAAATAAATAAATGTAAAAAGACAAGATAAGTTAGAAACTAAAGAAGGCCGACAAAATCTTCATATACCAGTTTTATAACAGAGCAATTGGAAAACGAGAGTTTTTCCAAATCGAGTCCGACTAGGTTTCCGATATCCTCCTCAATCCTCAGAGTCATCATCGCGAAGTTCCTCTTCGTCCATGTCGGTCGGCCGCATTTCTCAGTCCTGTTTTCTTCCTCCTCAGCATCATCTTCCATCTCTCGCAGCTCATCAGAGGTGCTCGATTCCACCGGCTAATGGGAAGGGACAGCCTATGCCGTCCAAAGACGGCAACATGGCCTGCACAGTAACTGCTTTCCGATACGACGCCGGTCTGCGGAGAGAACGGGTGAGCGTACGGTTGCGGCTGCCTTGATGCGTGCGTGTGCGGGGTGCTGAGTGGTGCAAGATGGGCATTGCGAGCTCAGATGGGTGTCGTCGGCCGCTGTATGCCTCTTGGGCGATGCCCAGCCCACAGAATCTGGTACTATTTACTAGCTTGCGAATTTCATTTTTTTTATAATTTTTTAATAATACTATTTTTATGCGTAATTAGTATTGCTGGGAAATTACAAAACTATTTCTTTTTTTTATCAACTAAGAATTGAAATAATCTTCTAACTATAATTAAAGATTATTGGCAATTCCTCAAGATTTTTTAAAGTGATCAAAATATTCATAATAAGAATTATTTTTAGGTTTTTTCTAATAGTTGATGTATAAAACAGTTTTTTTTTTCCAAATAAAATCAGAATATATTCAATTCAAAAAAAAATTATAAGAGGACAAAACAACAGCAAAAAGCAAAGAAAAATTTCATTAATCAATTGAAAGGCTGGGTTTTAATATAGTTGTGAAATATTTTGACCTTTAATGAATCAGCGGCATTCATTTTAAAGATTTTTTTATCTTTAAATTTATATTTATTTTATATAATTTTAATTATATTAAACGTATATCAAATTTTATTTTTAATATATCTAAAAATAAAAAAATTATATAGTGTTTAATATTAAACTTAAGTATCTGATGTTTAATTATATAGAAATAACATAGTTTTGTGCCGAAGAAACAGAAATCAGAATAGATAGGAGCAGATCAATAGAATCCAGGAGTCGTACAATTGATTCGATCCACTGATAAATCAGTAATATGAACATATCAGAGCTTATCGAATAGAAGTAAACTGAAGCGGACGATATCAAATGCAAGCATAATTGTACGAACTAGAAATCAGAAATCAGCAACAGACAGATATAAACCCAATCCTATCAATTGGCTTACAAAATAAGAGCTTATATTATAATTCTATAAATTTGTTTGATGTTTATAAATTAAATATAATATTTTATTAAAGAATTTTGACAAAAAGTCATCATGCAAATATTATGGATTATAAAAATTTTATTAGAATTCTTTCATTAAATTATGAGGATTGGACTAAATTATTTGCATATAAAAATATATATAATAATGAGTAATTTTAAAAGAAGTATAATAATTTTAAATCTTAATTAATCAAAATATAATTTTTATGTACGAAGTATTCAGATATTTTTTTTCTCTAGAATATAGATAAGAAGCAAAACTTACCTTTAAATTTAGAATTTTGGAGAAAAGCAAGTGATATTTTCAAGTCGACTTCTAATTTTTATTCAACGATATATATTAATATATATATCATTTGATAATATAGTATATATAGTTAATATAAATATATATATATATATCTATATTTTTGTAAAACTTAATTTAAATTTAACAATTTTGGAAGTAGTATGAAATATGTAAGAGTACTGGTTTGGCTAACAGTAGCTTTTTACTCAAGATTGAATGTATTAAATATTGAAATTCATATCATTGGCTATGAACTCCATGATTAACACCATTTGATGAATATTTTTGATTTATCAAGAAGTTACATACATACTACATTTTTGAAATATTTGTATATTCTATCATACTAAATAATATTTACGGTGATTAATTTACATAAACAAATATATAAATATAGATTTAATTTCAGATAAGTTATATTAGTAGTATTTTTTATAAGATTTATAGGGAATATTAGGATGCTATATAATTATCTATTTAAATTGGATGATTAAAATACATATAGAATTTTATGGTATACGGATTCTAAGTATGAATAGGTCTCCTTTTTACTTTTTTTTTTAAAAATATTTATTAATTACTCTCAGCAGAACTTCACGGCATAACTAACACAACTAAATCATTTGTTAGTTATATATATCACAGTCAATTTTTGTTTTGGCTTAACACTAGCTACTGAATTTTTTCAAAATTAGATGATTGCTGAACTCATAAATTAATGCTTAAAATTATTCATTATTCAGATACTTGAGATTAGCTAGAGGATATATATATAGATTGTGCTTAGAGATCGTTAGTAGTCTGTGATTTATCAATAATCTTGAAAAAATTAATATCAATAATTTTAATTTATAGAGTTCATTCATAGTTAAGAGCTTAATTTAGGAATTAGCATGGCGAAGCAAGTATATTAATGTAAATAATGAAGTCCAAATAATTATAATAAATATTAATGAAATTTTTGTTAATAATTTTCATTTAACTTAATAAGGCACATATTTCTTTAGATTAATTAAGTTTTGTGCAATTAAAAGGATGGAAATAAGAGTTAAAGAAAGGGGGAAAAGATGTAGACATAATTTTTGAAAAGGAAATACAGAAATATTTATGCATTGCCAATTACGATTTTTCAGTTATCTGAATATATGATGGCAGAGGATTTTCAATTTAAATGTTATTTTCAGATCATTTTGAAGGAGGAAATGGTATTCCAGTACTGAGGTCATAATAAAGTACTCAAGCTGCTCTTAAGTAATTGTATGGTGTTAATTCCATCATATATGGATCTGTTAGGTTTTGAGAGTTTTATGGTGGCATCAAATCAAGATATTATATTCGTGTTCGGACATTTGTAGGTTTGATTTGTGTGTGAGTTTGGTATTAAATTTGCGCATTGTTGGTCTTCTATTTTCTTTTTTAGATCGATCTCTTCTAAAGTCTCATTTGTCGTTAGCTTAATGTGTTCATTATGTTTGGGATTTTTAATCTTTTTTAGGACTCTTCTAATTAAAGTTAATTCCATACTATGCCATTATTTTTTGTTTTGTAGCATAGTATGTTTTAGAAAATAAAAATGAATTTTATATGTAATCTTATATCCAAAATTGGAAGAAATGATATTTAAATGTTTGTTTACCATCAAAGTATCTTGTTTGAAATGGCATAATGTTTTGAGTTATTGCGGTCGCGAAATTTATTCAAAATACTCGAAATTTTTGGGTTCAGCTCTCAATCACATTTGGGCCGCAATAAACTCAAAAGCATATGAGCATTAATCAAAGAATATACTAAGTTACTAGTAATGTATAAGTGGCGATTTGGGATTTTTCTAATAACAAATCTTATCCTATCATCTTTAATTATATCAAAGAGTGAACTTCAACCATTCATTTTATATTGCAATTAAATTTATTTTTTATTTTATTTATTTTAAATTAAATATATGACATTTTAAGATTGCATTTAAGTAAGAGCTAATTGTTAGGATATGCTAAAGCTTTTAATTGCTTTTTATTTCTATATTCAAATACAATTAGATCTAATATATTATATTTTCATTATATTTTCTAATAATGGTGGTACCTATCCGAGTAATTAATAACATTATTCATTAAAATAATATTGTTAAATTTCTACAGTGTATTATTAATAAATTAAATAATTAATAAATTTAAAGTATCAAATTTGTATAATAGTAATATATGGTATTTAAAGATATTTAACACTTATACAGTACTAGTAACTTAGGTAAGATTGCTTTGAAATGCATAATGCTTTTGAGTTTATTGCGGCCAAATGTGATTGAAGAAAATTTCGAGTATTTTGAATTAAATTTGGCCGCAATAAACTCAAAAGCATTATGCATTTCAAAGCAAGAGTACTTTGATTAGAACAAAATTTTAAATATATTTCTTCAATTTTGGATATTAAATTACATATAAATTCATTTTTTTTTTCTAAAAAATACATATGCTACAAAACAAAAATTAATGGCATTATATGGAATTAACTTTAATTAGAAGGATCTAAAAAAGATTATAAATAGAAGACATAATGAAGACATTATGTACGACGATGAACTTTAGAAGGATCGGATCTAAAAAGATTATAGATAGAAGACAATATGCAAATTTAATACAAACTCACACACAAATCAAACATACAAATTTCGAACACGAAATATCTTATTTGATAGCATAAACTCTCAACTAACAGATCATATATGATGAGAATTAATACACCATACAATTACTGTAAGAGCAGCTATACTTTATTTTGACATCAGTACTGGATACCATTTCCTCCTTCAAAATGATCTGAAAATAACAATTTAAATGAAAATTCTCTGCATATATATTCAGATACTGAAAAATCTAATTGGCATGCATAAATATTTCTTATTTCCTTTTCAAAAAATATTGTCTACATCTTTTCCCCCTTCTTTAACTCTTATTTCCATCTTTAATTTGCACAAAACTTAAATTATCTAAGAAATATGTGCTTATTAATTAAATGAGAATTATTAACAAATAATTTGCATTAATATTTATTATAATTATTTGGATTCATTTCATTAATAACTTCTTGCCAAGCTAATTTCCTAAATTAAGCTTAACTATGAATGAAACTCTATATAAATTAAAATATATATATAATTTTTTCAGATTATTGATAAAAATTTACTAAACGAATCTCTAGACAATCTATATATATATCCTTAGCTAATCTCAGAGTAATAATAATAATTTTAAGCATTTATTTAGTGTTCAGCAATCATCTTAATTTTGAAAAAAATTCAGTAGCAGAGGGTTAAGCAAAACATTAAATTTTGACTGTGATATATATAATACAAATGGATTTTAGTTGTGCTAGTTATTGCAGAGGTTATGAAATAATTAATAAATTATTTAAAAGAATAAAAAAAGTAAAAAGGAGACTATTCATGACATTTAGAATCCATAATTAAATTCTAATGTATTTAACACTCCAATTTTAATAGATATATATATATAAGCATCCCTAATATTCCTAAAATCTTATAAAAATACTAAGCGTAATTATACTTATCTGGAAATTAAGGTCTTTTATTTAGTATATTTGTTTATGTAAATTAATCACTAGAATATTATTTAAGTATTAGATATACAATATTCAAAAATTGTGAGGTATGTATGTAACTCCTTGATAAATAAAAATATTCAATAAAGTTGTTATCATGATATAGCCAATTGATATGAATTTTCAATATTTAATACATTCATTTGAGTAAAATACTACTTGTAGCCAAACAGTCTCTTACATATTTCATACTACTTCCAAAATTTTAAATTTAATTAATTTTTTAAATAATAAGATATATATAATATATATATATATATATATATATATATAATTTCGTTGAATAAAAATGAGTCGACTTGAAAATTTCTTTTTCTCAAAATTCTTAATATTTATAGGGAAGTTTTGGCTCTTTATCTATATTTCTAAGAAAAAAATTTATATCTGAATATCTATAAAATTATATTGTAATAGATTTAAAAGTTATTATACTTCTTTTAAAATTACTATTATATATATATTTTTTATTGCATTAATTTTAGTCCATCCTCATAATTTTTAATGAAGATATTCTAATAAAATTTATAATCATATATTTGCATGAATTTTTTAAAATTTTAATAAAAATATTATTTTTATTTATAACACAAAAAATTTAAGAATATAATATAAGCAAAAACTATGTATTTTCTATGTAATTAAACTCAGATACTTAAGTTTTAATATTAAACTATATAATTTTTTTTTATTTTAATTATATTAAAATAAAATTTATGTATATAGTTTAATATAATTAAAATATTATATAAATAAATATTAAATTTTAAAATAAAAAAATGTTTAAAATGATTCGTTGATTCATTATAAAAGGTCAAAATATTTCACAACTATATTAAATACCCGCTTTTTCAATTGATTATGTATTTTTCTTTGCTTTTTGGCTTTTGTTTTTTTGCTCTTATAATTTTTTTTTGAATTAATATATTCTGATTTTTTGGGAAAAAAAAAACTGTTTTGATACATCAACTATTTAGAAAAGAACTAAAATAATTCTATTATGAAATTATTTTGATTCACTTTTAAAAATTTGAGGAATTGCAATAATTCTTTAATATAGTTGAAGATTATTTCAATTCTTAGTTGATAAAAAAAGAATAGTTTTAGTAATTTCCCAAATACTAAATACGCATAAAAATAGTATTATTAAAATTAATAAAAAAAAAGAAATTTCGCAAGCTAGTAGAATAGTACCAGTTTGTGGGGCTGGGGGCATCGGCCTCAGAGGATACAGCGGCGGACGGAGCACCCGAGCTGAGCTCGCAAGGCCCGATCTTGACCACTCGCACCCCCGCACACGCCGCATCAAGGCAGCCGCAACCGTACGTCACCCCGTTCTCTCCGCAGACCGGCTCGTATCGGAAGCAGTTGATTGGGCAGGCCATGTTGCCGTCGTTTGGGACGGGGCATAGGCTGTCCTTCCCATAGCCGGTGGAATCGAGCACCTCTGATTGAGCTGCGAAGAGATGGAAGGAGATGGTGAGGAGGAGGAAGAAAACAGGACTGAGAAATGCGGCCGACGACATGGAGCGGAAGAGGGAACTTCGCGATGATTGACTCTGAGGATTGAGGAGGATATCGGAAACCTAGTCGACTCGATTTGGAAAACTCTCGTTTCCAATTGCTCTGTTGATAAAAGGTAGAGATTTTCGTCGGCTTCTTTGTTTTTAACGATTTTTTATTTATTTTTTATTTAATTTAATCATTTGGACGATTGTTTCCAAAACGTTTATCTATTTTCGTCTTCAAAACCATAGTTTGGAAGACTGCGTTTCCTCCTCTATTCAAAATGCTTGATTCCTTGGATTTTTTTTATTTGAAGTGATGACTCTTTCTCTTCAATTCACATGTAAAGACAACTTTGATCCGATTTGTACAGCTGATTCATGGATATCTTTTTTTTTTTTTTTTTTTTTTTTTTTTTTTTATACAGATCCTTTTATCTTATAGAAATGGTCTGAGGACTCAAGCTCATTCCTGAAGAATTCAACTCTATCCTCTTTTGGAATTAAAATTCTTGATTTCCCTATAATAAATATATACTAACACACACAGATTGACTAAGCTTAAAAGTACAAACATGGCACTCTAAGACGAGTGCCTCGAGCAAGTCCTTAGAAATGAGTATTTTGAATGAATCAATACAAGCGGGTCTCCTAAATATTTAGGAGAAATTATTCTGTGCATTTTTACTTAGTATTTGTTGCGTTTTAGAAAATACTCAATAAAGATGCAGGAAATATTCAATTATGAATGTGTTTTATTGAGTATTTTCTATGCTTTTGCAAATACTAAATAAAAGTGCAGTAATTATTTAGTAAATATTTAGTAAAAGTACAACAAATATTCAATAAATACTCATCAAATATTCATAATTAAATATTTGTTGCACTTTTACCTAATATTTGCAAAAGTGCTACAAATACTCAGTAAATACAGACGATTCTCTCTGTACGATTTTCGCCCAAAATAACTAATGCTGAGATCCCATAAGAACCTCCCATTGTCCTTAGCTCAATCAACAATGAAAATTTTATTGAGGAACCAAACCTTCACAACTCATTATGTTTGAATTGGATCCTTCAATTTTTATCTTTTTATTTTAATCATCATGTTGAGTCTCATTATAATTAATTGGGGTCAATTTCATTGGAAGGGACCATTCATGAAGAGCTCTTTTACATGATTAATTATTTTGTGTGGACATCGAATGCCTTCCGAAGACAAACAGATGCATCATTTCAACCGTTCGCTCGGGTACCGCTAACGTGACGCATTCTAGTTGGTCTCCATATGACGTTCTACATCCAATCTCCGCACAAAATTGTAGGCCAAGGTTGAGATCAAAGAGGATGCCAAAGTTGAACCCAAGTTAGAGCCATTGGTCGATCTCTTGAAACACAAGCAAGAGGTTGCTGCCACCGGCTTGTCTCCTTGCATAATAAATGAGCTGATAAAAAATGTTGTTGAGGAGAAGTGGGATGAGCAGCATGAGCTTGGAAAACTAACTTGTAACATAGATATATATCTACAGTTACAATGTTTTAGATAATACAAATCCAGAAAGTAAAAGCAGGAGTTCAAGTTAACATTTAGCAACTAGCACAGAATAATGATATGGATTCCAGGTTCTTAAAGCAACCTCTACCCAACCATTTAATTTACCTTTGCACATCTCAACTACTACTTCATTCAGCACACTTGACACCAGAAAGATACACCTGGGACTGTATGACGCTTCCCCCAACCATGAAACCTGGCATCACCATGAGTCCAACCTTAGGTCTTTGTTCGCCATCACTTAAAATAAGGTTTTTTATCACACTTTCCATGTAGATCTCTGAGTATTCAGTTCCACTCCTCACCTGAAAAACCTTGGCATTTGGGTCAAAAGAATAAGCCAGTCTGTGCAACAACCAGATGGACTTGGCCAGCTTCAGGAAAGCCTGGTAGAACGGCGTCCTCGGGTGCCCGCCGCTCATCACATAGTTTCTCTGATCAACGTTGCCAAAGAAAGAGCTCTCCATTTTTGGGTGGATGATTAAGAGGTATTTATTCCTGCAAAATCTTCCAAAAATGGAATCTGGGTTTTGGCTCAATACATCCAATGGATCCATGGCCCGAATAGCAAGAAACTGATGGAAGAAACCTTCATTTGACACATTAAGATCGCCTGTATCAACACAAAAGCTTTCCTCTTCGAAACCACTGAACATTCTCTGGCATATATGTGCTTCAAATGCATACTTCTTGTGCGCCCTTCTTGCATAAACTACAGATGCTTCTATTGCATTAGCTGCTGCATCTAGATCCCACCCAGCAGCTTTCATCATGTTAATCAATGGTTTTGAGAAATCATGAATGGATTTGTATGCATTTTCTACCGTAGAAGCAAACAGACTGGGTGTCAGTTCAATGGAGAAGAAGTTATCTTCCTCCGAATCTCCTGGTTCTCTGGACAGCAAGCCCCTCTGCTTGAGCTTCTTCTCAAGCTTTACCTTTCTCTGCTGTGACTCCTGGATTTGCTGCTGCAATTGAAGGATCTCAGTTTCTCTATTCTGAATCTGTGATTGAAACTTTTTAACCATGACTTCATAGGTCTTGAGTAAGCTTTGCTGTTCTTGAATTTCAGCAACTAAACGAGAATCCTGAGGTGAGGAAGATGTAAGTTTTGGTTTTTGCTCTCGGTAGGCATGCTTGAGCTCGGATAGCTTCATAAGCTCTTCGATAACAAGTTTATCAGCAGCCTGGATCTTCTCAGGATCATAAGGAGTATGAGCATCCTGCAGCTGAATGTATGCAGCTTTCAAAGATGAAATATTGTTGAATATTTTTGATACCAGGGTCTCCATTGGCTCTTTATTCCGATTTGCTGCCTCTTCCATTGGTTGTGGATAAACCTTCTGGTTACTGTTATCATGGCCTGGGTTTTCTTTTGGTCCTGTGCGTAGCATAGCTGGCTCCTAACAAGCAGCAGCTATCTCAACTTTCTCTGATTAAAACATTAAACATTTACCTACAAAAGGAAATAACAATGTTCTAGTAATTCTGAAAAAGCTATTGGTTATAAACAACTCAAGATGCTTGCCATACATGAAACGAAAACCAGTTCTTAAGCAAGAAAAATGTAAGCTGCAAGGACTGTATCACAGCTGAGCCTTTGAAATAGTTGAAAGTCAAAAAATAACCACCTAAATGTGCTCTTATGTGACTACACAATACTGGAATCTACTTTTCAATCTCTACAGCCATTAGGAAAAATGAAATTACTTACTTGATGACTTGATGACTTGATGCAAGTAACCTGAAATTGGCATGCCGCTAAAGGAAATTTATCAATGTAATTTTCTATATAATCTATAATATCAATCTGTATGTTTTTCATCTGTTCTGTTAAATTTAAACATGAGAAGCTAACTAGCAAATGATCCTTAAACCAAAAGTCATGAAGAGCCAAAGCAAAACATAGATGTTCTCTAATTTTCAGGGAAACTTCCGCTAGAAAGCATACCATCAAAGAAACACCAAAAGAGCTAGTACCATTGTTTCCCCATCTATCTTCCACTTTTACATGTCACACGCAGCGTTGAGCCACACAGCATGGAAGATCATGCAAAGCACTAAATCACACTATCTAGATCATTTGAATCCTTTAATACTAATCTCATACTAAGGTATTTTAGAAAATTAATATTGAAGTTATGAAGATTCAATTTACAATGAAAAGCTTTGTTATTTATTGACAGAATACATTTGCTTATATATAGATACATAAGAAGAATAAAAAAAAAGAAATATATCATAATTATAAGGATACTAACTATTTTCCTGTAATAACACTTGTTCTCAAGCATATTTATCAACAAGTTTCAATTTGTTATAAAGATTAAAAAAATGAAGAGGTCTCATAGCCCTTATAAAGATATCCACTAATTGTTCTGCATAGGAGATGTATGGATGCAGTGATGATCTTTTTTATAGTACTTCATCTCAAATGAAATGATGATCCACTTCAATAGTTTTAATTCTTTTACGTTGCAATATAGACAGTTGATTATCATAGTTATATAGCATAGGTAGCGTTACAGGTAAATACAATTCTTTTACAAGAGTTCAAGTCCACATCATTACGCTAACAAAATTAGTCAGAGCCCTTTCAACTTCAACATTAAGCCTTACTATAAAAATTTGTTTCTTAATTCTCCAATACAATAAGTCACCCACAAAGTCATAGTATCAATGGTAGAAGCATCTGATACATCAGCAGTTCTTGGGGGGACCTAGTAAAACATTAATTCATTATGTGAGAAGAAGAATTAAGAAAGGAATTAATTAGGAAAGATTTCCTAATTGAAATTCAAATTGGAGAGGAAAATATATTACAAAATGGGGGGTGATTTAGTAAGGGATTAATTATGAAGGATTTTCTTATTGAAATTCAAATTGGAGAGGAAAATATATTAGGAAAAGGGGGCTGATTTAGGAGGGAAGTAGGAAAAGCTTATTTAAGACTAAGTTTAGAGTTTATTTTGTTTTATGCAGATTTTGATTTAGTTTTTCTGTAGCTTTTTCTTTGAGGGCTTCTTAGCAGCGTCTATGTTGTTTGGGAGAGCCGATCTATCTCTCAAATTGTAGATCATATGTATATTGCTTTCAAATTGAAGTTATAATCCACAATCAGCCATTATTATTAGTATTTCTACAGTTTTTCTATTGTTCGTTTGCTATTTTTGTTTCCAAGGCATATCAGCATCATTCCCAATAAGAATGCCATCAACATACATAATGAGAATCCCTATGTTAGAGAGTGATGAATAAAAATAGAATGCTCAGCTATGCTACTATGAAAATCAATATCAACAAGAAACTTGAAAATTTTGTAAAAGCAAGCGCCTGTGCTCCAACCCACACAGAGCTTTATAAAGCTTACAAACTCTATTCTCTCCATAAGCAACATAAACTGGATGTTTCTATATATAACTGATTTCGGGATATCCTCATACTGAAAAGCATCGATAGCATACATTTGGAGCAGGATCCATCCTTGACTAATGCGAATAAAGAGAATGATAGTTGTCGACCATCCATTAAGCTTAATAGCGTTTAATAGATAAATATGGATAGAACTAGACAGTCAAGGCTTAACGATATGAAATCAGTTTAACTCTAAAATGTATAAAACCATATCCCAAGTATGAAGATCAAGAAGAGCCCAAATTTCAATATTCACCCTTGAATTAGAATGCAATAAAATTTTCTGACTAGTATTGAGAATAGAGATGATAGACTGAGAAAAGGAAAAATGAAGAAATCATGATAATAAATAATCAAATGACAATTAGATGTAATGGGTGGCCGATATAATATTGTATTACTTTTTATAGAACAACTGGGAGATGTAAATCTAAGGGCTTCTTGTGCAAGTAGGTGTAGTGGCGTAGTAGATGGGATGGTAGAAACATTTGAGCAAGATGAAAGTGGAACCCAATGGGAAGATGTGGTGTGGGAAGATAAAAATGGAACACAATGGGAAGATGTGATATGAGAAGATGCAGGAGGGTCTCAAGGGGATGCCTCATGAAAAGTGGCATAATAAGAAATATAGAGTCAACATGCAGATGGATCATAACACCAATAACCTTTACAAGTATGAGAATAGCCTATAAAGATACACTTAACAGCATGAAAGGATATATTATCACATCTTGGAAAGAAAGAGTGAATAAGCATAACCAAAGTTTCTAAGAATAAGATAAGCAATAGATGTTTATGGATAAACAAAAGAAAAGTGGGTGGACGACATGGGATTGATTATGTAAAAACTTATGAAAATGACATCTGCCCAAAATTATCATGGAAAATATATATGAAATATTAAGAAAAGAGCAACATTGAGGAGATGATGCTAACTATCAAGCATTCCATTTCATTAGGATGCATAAAGTCATGAATATTGATGAATAATATTGTTGTTAGCATAAGAGTGAATGGTGTGAAACGATTAGGAGTTACTTGAGAAATTAAAAAGAAACAATTGATTAAAACTTGCTAATATAAAATTATTGTTTGCAAATAAAGAAGAATTAGGAATTCAAAACATTCAACTTGCTTAGACAAAATAGCGCTCTTGAGATTAAACAAACAATCCAATCAAAATTCAAAGACAATAGTAAATTTCACATGCACATAACATAATCCGCCACTTAATAATAAGAGGTTCACCTTGAGTCCCTTCTCACTCATTCACTCTTAAGCTTTAGTAGAGGAAGACGAACCATACGAGGAAGGAGATTACCACTAAGAGGAGGGGGCCGAAGACTTTTGTTGATGGAGAAGTAGCCGGCAGTGGAGGAGGTGGTGGGTGACCGACAATTATCCAATGACCCAATTGAATGTGCTCCTCAATCGATAGTGTGAGCTGGTATAAGATGCGGTCGATGTATCCGTCGACAGCCTCGTCGTTGCCAAAGTACATGTCAAAGAACGGAGATCCAAGAATATCCGTCCATCCTTGCTTGTCGAAAACAAATCCGTGGTCGACCTCAGAATCGGCCATACATGCTTGCCGTGAGAGATGAGAGAATGCAAGTAGAAAAAAAGGGGAAGAGAAGGTGGCGGTTGGAGGAGGAAGCCGGTGGCTTGGGTAGAGAGGGGAAGGGGTGGGGAAGTTTGGTGATTATGTAATCAAAAATTTGGAAAGGGACCCAAATTTTTGATAAAAAAAGAAATCTCTTCCTAGATAATAGAAAGATACACCAAATTACCAAAATCTGATAAAATACGACAAAAACAAATTTTAATATTATAAAAGATGACTTACAAACTTTTGACTCTTACAATCGACTCAAACAAACTTATATAATAAAAATCTAAACTTGCTTTCCTAGAGAAGAAAGATACAGGTGGCGTCGAACTTGCGGAGAGAAGAAAGAGATAAGAGGCCGAGATGAAGGAGGAGAAGCTCGCAAGCTTTCCTAGAAGAGGAGAGGAAGAAGTGGCATAGCTCGCAAGCTATCCAAGAAAACCCTCAGGTTTCTTTCCAAAAATCATTCACATAACCATCTTTAAACATACACAAATCAGCCCTTATATAAGCCAAAAGAGGGCAGCTAAACAGCCACCATATCTTCATTAATATCCTAATTAAAATAGGAAGATATAAGGTCAAAAGTTACTCCAAAACAGCAGCCCAAAAACCATTCATATTCTAAAATTGAATGAGGGAAATGAAAAGCCAACAGCCACTTTACTGCCTTCCCCCAAATCTACACAGGAAACAAAGCACCACAAGCCACGAAAAAGCCCCCAACACCCACGGGAAAGCAGCCCAGCCAGGGACCCGAAGAGGCAGCCGCACAAACCAAAGAGGCCCGCACGGAACCGAGGCACCAAAGACACGGGAAGGCCACCCAGCACAGAAAACCAGCAGCCAACCATGGAAAGCAAGGGACAAAGGCACGGAAAACAGCCAGCCAGCATAGGAACCCAAGGGACAAGCTCAGAATTTTAAAAAGAAAAGGGGAGGAGAAGAGACAAGACCACTCCATAATGAATCCAATTTATGAGCATACCTTAGTAGATTAATGAGCTAGGTAGTTCAATAAATTCTCTCAAGAACTAAAACTTCAGCTCAACATTAATGAGCTAGCACTAAGTAGAATTCCAGCATTTTGAGCTCAATATCAAGCAACCAAGGTCCATCCGAGAACACCAGAAGCTCAAGGGTCAAAACAAATTTTCATCTTGTTTTGACCCCCCCCCCCTGCCTACATCAGGTGATGAGTGGGGCGGCTAGGGTTTGGATTAGGGAGAGGTTGGAATTTAGATTATCTGAATTTAATTTTCAGTTAAGTGATATTAGAGGGAAACGTTTTGAAATTAAATTCAAATTCAAATCGGATTTAGGCTTCAATAGGAAAAACTAGGGGAGAAGCCCATTAATGGGCCGACAGTATAGGGGGAGGAGGGGAAGGATTGATGGGGTTTTAAAAGCTTCCAAATTGAGTTATCTAATTA